ATCTTATTCTACTGAAATGTTGAAAAATATTACAGAGACAGATTCCATGCTGTAGAAGAGCTTCCGGAAAATTTAAAACAGGAATTCTCGAGTGCTGTCAATGCACAGAAAGAAAAGAAGCGCATTAGGTTGATCCGTCTTGAAAATGGAACACCAGAGATGAGATTCTCAACTAACCCAGATCAGTTTGTGCACAATTTTTCTAGTATCGATCTTGATGCTATACAATTAAAGTTTTGTCACTTAAACTAACCTTTAGCGATAGGCGTGATATGATTAGGAAGATGAAAACGGCAGTGAAACTTGAGAACTTGTATATACAAATGGAATGTTTGGCACTGTCATCTAGTGAAGACTGCCTCAAGTACACGTGTAGTAGGAATGGTACAAAGAGATAAAGCAATACGGTTTCATTTCGGAAAGCATATTTGAAATGCTTAAACCTACTGGAACAGTTTTACCTAAACTTTATGGTCTACCAAAACCGTAAAACGTCGGTCTGCATTTTCTATCAATCCTCGACATAACAAACTCTCCGTATCATGCAACCATAAAATGGTTAGTACAAATCTTGAAGCCTTTCCACAAAGAAGTTGTAAAGTACAGTCTCAAAGATACCTTTGAATTTGTTAGAAAGATTGAGGATCTGAAAGTAGATAATAAGTCAATAATATCGTGTGGTATTTCATCTCTCTTTACTAACTTTCCTTTAATGGAGACACTAGACTTTATTTGCAGTGAACTTACTAAACACAGGATGGAAATAGGCATTCTAGTCTCCACATAAAAAGAACTACCTCTGAAGTGTACGATGAACGCAAAATTCCTTTTCAACTGTGAATCCTACAGGCAGTCTGATGGTGTAGCTATAGGGTCACCCTTTGGCCCACTCTTAGCAGATTGTTTTTGGCAAAACTGGAGAATGGGCTGTTGAACGAAACTATTAGCCGGTTAGAAATGAAATCTATAGATGAATTCTCAAAAGTGAGACTGATAACAATACTGTTCTCAATAAGTTCAGTATAGTGTTCATCCGGTAATCAACTTCACAATGGAAAAGGAGGAAAATGACAGTATCCTAGTTCTTCATGTTTTACTGGTAGGAAGGTTAGATGGAACTTTGAAACGAAGTGTATATAGAAAGCCAGCATCGACAAGTCAATGGTGAAATGTCTGACATACTGCGCCACAGACATTTGCTCATATGATGTTATAGAAGAAGAGTTCGCCATCATCCGTGACCTGCTTAGTAGGGATGGCCATCCATCTTTAAAAAGCCACTTTTATTAAAGTGGCAGTCAACAAGAAGTAACTTCTAGTATTACTTTGTATACCTCTTCCCCTTGTTGTTTCTATCAATATTCTTTTAGAGGGATAAAAAGTGTTTGCTAGTTTACTCGCCTGGATATCATCGAAAAGATATAATTTGAACTTCACTTAGAAGTTCATTTATTTGGTTACAAGAATATGTATAAACTTGATACTTTGAGTTGGAACAACAAATCAATAATCTTACACGAAAGATGTAGTAATCCTGAAAGTAAATAGTCCTTTTGATAAATTTTAACAGGATACTAAGAAGACAGAGATTCTCTGAAACATGTGATGATGTATTGTAGTGCTATACATTTTGAACAGTCTTATCTCACATGAAATTGTCGAATAATAATGGAAGCTGTTCATTAGACTAATATGAAGACAACCTTCATTCTATTCCATAGATATGGTCAAGGATGACTGCTTTGATTTGATGAAGCAATTTCTACTTAAGCTAAACCTATTTTGATAGTGTTGAGTTCAACATTTCATACTGTCTGTGATGATGGTCTTACGTTTTTTCCTCTCTTGCTTTTGCTCTGCGCTTATTATCTTTCTTAAGATTGTATTCACCACGGACTGATATCTGTTGGAGAACCATTGAAAATACGGAACACTGGGTAACGACTTCTTCCTAGTTTGGGACTTGTGGGAAGTACGCACCCACGACCTTGCCCGGCCTTGCCACCAATCGTGGCCTTCAGGTCTGATGTCAAACACGTTAACCATTTGGCCACTGCATTAGAGTTCTGGGACCCACAATTTCCTACTTCTATCAGTTCGCGATATTGCGTGAATAGATAACAAAGTCTTCAGTTGACATCTGCTTCACTTCTTATTGAATGACCCTAAAGGTTAAAGCTTTTCATTAGAACTTTGAGATATCCATCTTGAAGCATGTCACTAGTAGCTCAGTGGTTTAGGAAGTAAACATGAATTAATTATTCGTAGAAAAGAAAGATGAAGATTCAATGTGGTTTTCACCTGTGAATAAGATGGAGTTATCGACAATATTATCGTGGTAGTCCGTTTGGTGGCTAGCAGTAGAATTCATGACGTGCATTTCGTCCTATCTGGGACTCGTCAGGAGAATGTACCTGAACCCCAGAGAGTGGTGCTATTCCAACTTAGACTGTTACCCAATGCCGACTGGTTTCACTACCAAATCATTACCAACTAGGCCACTGGGATACGAGAGAATCATTTTTGTGACCAGTATCAGATGTTATTTGATATTTCATACAATTTTCTTTAGCTGTATGCAGCCTGGATAGATGAGTCAGTAATCGCTGTAGCAAATATTGACATACCTTCATCTGCCAGCCACAACCAAGTAAATTACCATTATTAACATTCAGGAAATATTGAGTCATCCCCATAGAAGCCCATATGCCAGCCAATAGAGGTCGAACACTTCGATACAGTAAAACAACGGAAACTATAAGCATATCAACAAGTAGTAATAACTTATATGAAACGGTCTAAGATACCAATTAATATTTTACATATTGGGAAAACATACTAATTCAGAACACAGAGGAAGTTCAGGTAATAAATCCACTTAAACTATATAAGGGTTATATAAGGTAGCCAGCTGGACAATGTCTATGCAATAATCGGTATCTAAATGAAGTTTATATGGAAGTAAAGACAGACGGATGTATTATTTTGGCTTTCAAAGAAGATGATGTTTGAACAAGATTAGGCAGACGAATTAGTAAAGATCTGTTCAGTGCTTATCCAACTGCAAGACTTATGCAGTTACACAGTCCAAATTAGACCAATTTCCCCCTCTTGCTAACTCCAAGTGTATTTATCAGTTCACATTTACATGTGGTACCAAGTATATAGGAAGAACAAAGAAGTGATTTCCCATCAGGATTGCTCAGCACATTTCAAAGATTCTACATCTCACAGGACAATCCTCATTCAGCAGTGCAATAGCTCATCACTTATATGATATATGACATCAAGTAGATGCGATGAAACTCTTCATGGTAGTCAACAGATAAAAGACCTCCTGCATACTTCAAATTACCAAAGCCTTCACTATCCAACGAGTTCACCTGGAATTGTATGTCCAAAAGGAGGCTGTTGCCCAGTTTATTATTATCCTGAGAATTAGTAACTTTTCACTCTCTCATCTTTTACAAAAGTATTTTCCAATACATTTATTTTGTGTTTATTCATAAGTATATTCATGCTGATTAAAGTTTCATTATTACTCTACTAGTTATTATTATGATGGTTTTATCTCAGATTTTAGGTTGAAATTCATCATGAACTGATATCAATTTTAGGAACATTGGAAATCTGAGAACACTGGACAGTTGTTTTGTTCTAGTATGGGACTCTTCAGCAGTGTGTACTCATAGCCCCGCCCGCCAGGGATCGAACTCGTGACTTTAAGGTTACATCATCAGCGCGATTTTCATCCAATATCTTCTTTGAATAACTATACTCAATTAATAAGTATCCATAAACCTCCAGATAGTTTTATCTCACTCATTTATCAGTTTATGAACATAATATTTTCATATGATTATACAATCCCTTCTGCTTACTTCTAATCTTATGTCATTCACTCATGAACATTCCTCATCTTGCCTTATATAATTTTTATATAGTTTAACAAAATTTATTACCTGAACATCTTTGGCGTCTTGAATTATTATATTTTCCTGATCTTTAAAACACTAACTAGCATCTTAAACCGCTTCATATAAAGAATGTTAATATTTACCATAGCGATTATCTACTTATTTATTCAGGTTATATGCAGCTGAAGAAGATCCTACGAAATAAATGACTTCATCTTATCCTGTAAATAGTATTCTCATTGCCTTATTCAATTTTATAAAGGGGATTAACTGTTGGAAGTAGTTCAATACATTATTTGTTGATAGGCTTAAAATTCATCGTTGTTATGCTGATCTGAATTGATCGACTTCTTTTGGCATATGGACTCCTACACGAATGCCCCCATACTGTCCGAATATTCATTGTTATAATTTACTTGGTAGTGAATATCATTCAGTTGACAAGTCCCAAATAGGATGAAATGCGCTCCCTTGGTTTGGTTGCTAGGTACTATTCATCATTAGTATCAAAATTGACAATACCATCAGTATTGAGGAATCCACACTGGAGCTCTTATGTCAGTAGCAGCCGATCAATGATCTAGATTTATGAGCAATAACATCGAAATGTATACCTGTTGGACAAGGAGTGTCTATCATGATCCACTGGCCTAGTGGACGACGCTCTAACACTTTTATGGATTGGTTCTGGGTTACAGTCTTTCAAGGGATAACATCCCTAATTGGGAGACATGTATATCCAGCTGACGGGTCTTAAGTAAAACGAAACGTGCATTCTTAATCCCACTATCAGTTCATTTATAACAGTAGTTCAATACAGTGTTATTGTTTGTATGACACCGTAGTTGATCGGACCGAATAGATCAGTCTCTGTTGGCATATGGGCTCCTGTACGGATGCCTCCATTTTGCCTGTGTTTTAAATATGTATAGTAATGATTGGCCGTGGCTAGCAGTGAAATCCAGGATGCACATTTCGTCCTATTTGGAACTCGTCAGCTGAATGTACCTGCTTCTCAGTGAGTGATGTTGTAGTCAAGTAAAACAATAATGCTCATGAAAAGTTATACAATCTACTACTCACCTGCCGTATGATTTGCCTACAATACACTGCCAATTAGGTTTGTATTTACGATCAAATTCTTTTTTTAGATATGATGCCATTTCAAATTCTTCAGTAAAATTCTCCATTCCTTCATAGCATGTATCAACAGCATCTTGTTGCATTTTCAATGGCATATCAACATATTTTACAACTGCTACTGGTTTTTCATCTGTTGTCATCCCTGTTATGAATCAGTTAGATGATAAGTTTTTTTCTGAATGAAAAAAAAGTGATTTTTTCCTCCTTTCTTTTTGATGTAAAGAACTTTACTGGTAATCTTAATTTATTGTAGCTATTCGCTTACAAGATGACGAATATTACTTACATTAACAATAATCATTTTCTGGTTGGTTGGAAGCGATTTGATTGTTTAAAACGAAACTATCCTATTAATTTATTTGATGTTAAATTTAACTTATTAATCGTTATTATTATTATTGTAAGGCTCAGTGCATTAAGTTGTAAACTTATATTATCTTTATAAGGTCACTTCAGATTTTGAGGTTATTGTGAATAGAATCATCAGGTGAACTTCAAACTTCCCTTATTTTGATTTACTTTTGATGATTGATTACTTCATTTTAAGAGAAATTCAACTTGAGAACACAAAATGTACTATAAATCAAGGATATATAAAGAGAATACTGGTTACTACTCTATGTTTGCTCACATACACATACACACACACACTACGTGTGCACAGCTGACTAATGGGCTCATCTGTTAAAAATAATAATGTAATGAATCGAGATGATTAGTTGGTTAGTATATTCAATCAATTTACCACGATAGTCTACTTTATACGATCAAGGTTCAAAATGTGATCAATAATTCATGACAGGCAATAACCAAGTCCCTACATCACTCATTCTGGAAATCAACATTTTAAGTCAACAACCGATAAGATAGAAATTATTGTATTTCAGTTTTTACTACATGTCGCCTTTTGATACGGAAAAGCCTTATTGGACAATTTTATCCTACAGTTGACCAATCAGAACAAGTTGTTTAACGTTTGACCTAGTAGTTTTATATGTTCATGAAAACCACATATGTATGATATATAATAAGTTTTTAATGCAAAGTTTATACACAGCGATAAGCTATGGTAATATTTAGAGCGAAATTGCTGCCCGTGATCACACCAATAGCTGGAATATTTTAGCAATAAATATTGCTGTCTTCTGTTGTAAGCGTTTGGTAGGGCAGAATTGCGTAACTCATTGTGTGAGTGAATTAAGTATCCGAGACTGGATAAGTATATTCGAGACTAGTCACATTCAAAGTTGGCGTCAACACTGAATTGACAGGATCACGTGGATCAGACAATCACAAAATGACAAAGTTACAATAATCTCAAGTGGAGTATTCTATTTGATATATGGATGTTGCGAATTATTCGGTTGTCAGGTGAACATGTACAAGAGGTACAGATATGGTCAACGCGACCTACTAGGAGTTGGACGCAGAAATGTTTAGAAAGTGTAGTCTGGCTACTTCGTGATGTTATCATTATGTTAAAAATAAAATTAGAAATTGGACGTGCCTATTTTGAACCCATCGATCAGGTTTGAAATGATAAATTACTAAAGTGGTTAATCCATACTCCTTTCAAAATGTTTGATTTGGCTTCTTCATAAATAACTGTGAAGAAAGACTTCGGTGAAACAAAAGGACCAGAGTTAACCAGATGTTCAAGAATACAGTTTCTAGTCCCTTTTCATTCTCCTTTAGACAACGATGTAGGATTAAGTTTGGAGATGCGTTTGGATAGAATACACTTTGTGTGGCCTATGCAACCAGCTCCATAAGAGAAGATGAATTAATAAACACACATAATCAAGGCTCAAACCGGTCGTTTATCCTTTACGTGCCCTCGAATCAGTTGTTGACTTCAGAAAACAGATGGAAGTTACGACTCTATTGACAATTTTTGATTGTACAGCTTCTGAAAATGACTGGTTGAAAAGAAGATTTTCTTCACTGAAATATCTCTTCTTGCTATGACCAGTAGTACGACCTAACAGTTTACGAGCCATACGAGCCTATCAGCTATATGAACCTAAAGTGCAGCGAATCGACTCTGACGCAAGTCAGAACGTCAACCACCACCACCACAACAACAACAATACCACCGATGTTCAACGACAAGAAGGGAAGACAGACCGTAGACATAGAGCCTTTTACTCTCTCAACAACAGTCAATACAGTTGACAGTGATGCTGAATATATACATTTCTGAATGACCTTGACAACACTAATTCTGCATATAGCTAACAACCAATGAGAGTTGAGCCTTGAAACGAGAGGGCTATTTTAAGTTCATGGGTAAAACAGCAAAATTAGGAGTATATAGCACTATTTATTCAGGTTACTTTTAAATATTAGACAGCTGATGGGTCACTGGTGTTCTTTCGAACTTTATGTACACTAGAATATCTTGTCACCCCCTTCCATTCATCATTCGTTTAACAGTATTAGGAAGAGAATGAGAGGTCAACAAAACTCTAGAACTGGAACAAGTTATATTTGATTGGATTTTCCCTAATAAAAAGCCTATAAAGACTGTTAGTTTATAGTTCTATTGTATAACCATCTTTAAAAGCTTCTTTTCTACTTTTTTGTTATGTCATTTTATGCTTAACAACTGATAAATAACTTCTATTCGACTACAAAGTATACCTCTCATTTTCCCAGTTTGAACTAGCTTTGTTAAGTATTAGTTCTGTGAACCTGTTATTCTCTGATCAAACACGTCAAAGGTAACTTATAGAGGGACTAACTAGAGAAATCGTTCAGAACTTTTTATCTCATAGATGATTTACACGTGTGAAGAAAACATAGTCAATTATGAACGACATATCAATTAATAGTCAGGTGTACAGGATATCATAGTCAGGTGGTGTAAAAATATAACTGCATTTCTAAGTACATACTGACATAATGATATCCATCCTTTGATACTTGTAATCCCCCGTTGCTATACTGGGTCAAATTGCTCAGTGTCTACTATCAGATGGGCTTCTATATGGATGCCTATATATTGTTAGGTATTTATCATGCCATGACTAGCAATGAAGCCCATGATACACATTTCGTCCTATTTGGGGCTCGTTAGCTGGATGTACCTACACCCTAGTGAGTGATGTTGTTCCCACTGCAAATCTAACCAAGTAGCCATCGCTTCAAACGTCAAGACAAATGGTGATAGCCAGTTTGAATGGTAGTTTCGAAGGTAACAACTTCATGGAATGCATCTTCCTGACATATTACTATTTTACTAAAACCGCCAACAATGATGTCTGTGTACACCTCTTCTCCCACTTTCTTCCTCAAAGACTGTCTAGGATCTTAGTTGATCTAAGAAATAAGATATTATACTCCGAAAATGAATTACACGTATTCAACTGAAAGAGAAAACTGTTGGGTGATAAGTTCAAGGTTTCTAAAATGGTCGCATTAGTGGTTCCATGATATGCGGATAGAGAGAAAAGTTTGGTCTAGAGAGGGACCAATCAAAATGTACTTCATGTGATCATTCCCGTAGTTAGACAGACACACGGGGATCAGCTAATCAGTATTATTATTTTAAACAGCGAACTATCTATACATATTAGATATATTTCCCTTTGACCCTAATACACGTTTCTACACGTCCATCGTGTCTTCTCCATTCATTAGTCGGGTCGGAAAGCAACTAGGAACTTGTTGAGTATTTGTGCCTGACACTCGATATCCGTCCATCGTTAACGGCCATAGCATACAGAGTTTCCAAATCACAACACTCGAGCAGGCGAAAGTTTCACAACCTTGTCGATTAGATTTTCCGTCAACGCTAAATAAGCAAATCAAAAAATACAGGTAAATTATCGCTGATAGCAGCGTAAATGTTGGCTGAGGCAGAAGATCATGCATTTACGATTTTTAGACGTATCAGGTTACGTGAGTTTAACAGGAAGTTGAGACCTAAAATAATGCGTAGTAGCACGCAGTTTATCGATAAACACCATCCTTTCCTCACTCTGTAGAAAATTACTCACCTCACCTAAACTTAAACGACAACTAATCTCGTCTATTTGATCTTGGGAAGGATGACTTTCCACCCATGAGTCAATGGTTTGAACACTGCTCGACCGACAGAGGTTTGGGCAGCCAAGTGGTAGCTCATCGTCTACTGGGCAAATGCGCATGTGGTTGTCAAGTAGAATTAACTCCATTCTAATCTGCTGTACCTTAACTTTCTATTCCAAATCAATCACCATCCGGGTTCCCGATTAAATAGGTAGGAAATCTCCTGGCAACTGCTTTTTCCAACGCCGAAGCTGGATATATAGCTTAGCCTCCTACACCCTAACGTATACTTCTGATATATCCAGGAGTGGTCAGTACCTAATAGTGAATATCTGTCAACGCAAACCATTAGGTGTTCAGAATTTTCGTATTTTAACAAATAAAAATCTACGACTACAGTATTTTTCCAAAAAGAATGAAAGAAAGAACTGATGCTTCTCATGTATTCACATGCAAGTGAGTGGCCTTGATGTCATCAACCCATTTGTAAAAGACTTTTATATCGGGTGAGGCTAAAAGTTATCCCCAGATGCTATCGTGCTTCTTACAGGATATAGCCTTCTATGTATAAATTCGCGTATTTTCTGCACGCTGTATGCATATTTTATCTAGTTTTATAGCTTCTAAAACGCTCTCTGTCATTGAATCATGTTTCATATCGTTAATTCATGGGCAAAGTATTGGTTGTACTTCCACCTCCTATTTGAGATGTAAGTATATTTATTTATGAAAGAATGATGCTCACAAATCAAAGTGAGTTGACTGAAACTTCAAACTGCATCAAACTGGATTTATGACTACAGTTTTTACGTCAAAATATATGCTTCCAAAACACAGAAACACCTATAACCCCCGGGGATAACTTTTAGCCTCACCCCTTTCTAACATCTTTAACCTGATTGGTCATCCCCAAAGCATGATGTCACTGGTGTTTGGTTACACCAATTACTTGTAATACCAAACCGAAAGTAATGCACATCCACTTTAACGTTTCAGTCATCAAAGTTTATGAAAGAAGTTGGGCAATAAAGTTTTATAACTTGTAAAATACAAATGAAGGCACGTTGAACGCTGTAGAAATGTGTGCGTTATCCACTACACCACAGAGGCAACGTGGTTCTAGTCTCATTGGGAACAACACTCAGTGAGGTACAGGTACATTTAACTGACGTTTCCCAAATAGGAAGAAACGCACGTCCTGGATTCTTCTGCTAACCACAGCCAAACAAATTGCCGTAGTCTTAAAAATAGTTCGTATAGCCAGTTCACCAGACAGTTCACGAAAGATCAATCACACAGTACCAAATACTTGTCATCACACCACACTGTGCAATAGCATAAGGCCAATGTACTTAAATGATAACCAATAGGGTTGCAGTATTTGTCAAGGTAACAAGTGGACTTCACTTACCAGACATAAATCATACACACGTGATGTATCTGTCTAGCCGATCACAAGTTATCAGAAGGTCAGACGGTTCAGTCTCTTAAGTTAGTACGCCTTCACCGAGTCTTGTTCCATGTGTCGTCCCAATGGGACGATTTTAAAGGCCACCCTGAAACTGCTGCAGTAACTAATCAGACATCTTCATTACAAGAAAATTTGCCTTTCCATCCGAAATGAAGGAACCTAATTGGTTGTTTTGGTC